TTTGCATCCTTGATCCTCCTAGATGAGGGTAGATGCCTTTGTCCCCCCATTTTACATGCCCCCAAGAGGACTTCAGTTTCTTTTCAAGTCAGCTTTCAATTTCAGGAACGAACTAATTGCACTATGATTTATTGATGCCTCTCTCCTTTCCTGGACCATCGCACTGGTTGACATTCATTGACCTTTTATCCTGTGTAGCACTTTCCTAATTGCTTAAATGAATAGTCCCACTGAACCCTTAGGCCTCTCTCAGTGCACATCTTATTTTCCATGTTTTTCTGGATGAGAAAATTGAAGCACAGAGTGGCCATGAGAAACACTGACGTGGGCCAGACCCTGGCATGGTGATTAAGGCTGCTAGGTGCTGCATGGCTGACTGCTGTGTTTGAGTCCTGAACCTGGAGACTGGGAAAACATGCCAGGCACATGTACATGTGTGCCCTAAATCCCCAAAGCAAGGAGAAATGGAGGAGAAAAGATTGTGACATGATCATTCCACACTTGGGGTAGAGGGTATTTTCTTACTTTCCCTCTCTCTTTCTCTGTGTCTCCCTGGTGAGTGCACATGCCCCTTGGGGGAGAAAATGCTGATTCACACAGTCAGTAAAGGGTAGAGCCAAGATTTTGACCAGTAAAATGGCTCTGGAGTTTGAGCTTTAACTACTGCATAGAAATGCTTCTCTATCAGTTGCTGGACAAAGCCTAGCAATGTCCCTCTTGAGTCCCAAGACTCTATTTAAGTGTTTGTGCCTTAATAAATGAATGAATGCATGGTGGGTGGGTCAATGAGTGACTTACCTCACTAGGTCACCTCTTGCCCAGGAGGGTGCTGTGTACTTTTACATTACAAATCATTTAACTTGGATTTTGGTTGGTAAATGGAGTGACCCTAGAATTTGCAAAGACAAAACTATACGTGTGAGAGTTCTGCCATGACTCCTACCTTCCCTGAGGATTGTCAGTGGGTAAAGGTTTATTTTCTTTTTAACTCTAGAGAACACTGACTAGGCCTGTCAAGAAATCAGAACAGATATTGAGCCATCAAAACACCAGGCCAGAAAGCTCCACCCTCCCAGAGAGTAGTGCTCCTCATCACCATGCTGTTTCTCAGTCCTGGGTTCCTACGTGCACAATCCCTGGAGAGATTTCATCTCACTTAGTACCCGTGGGTGATTGGTTTACTGGTCTGAGATTTGAGGGTCAAATTAGTTGATTAGAAGGTTAACGTCTAATTGTAGGCATGGGTGCCTGGAGGTAACCTTTGATTATTTTCTGTTTGACTGAATTAGCACTGGCCAGGTGTGGAGTTTCTGCTCACAAAGTTGCTAGTAAATTATTCTGGGTCCTGGGTCTGCATTCTATGTCTGTGCCAGTTGGGTGTCAATGTTGGGATTTCCTGAGAAGCAGACTCACCAAAGCCTGTTCTCAAGAGAAGGGAAAGTTCCACAAGCAAAACTTCACACATGCTGGGCCATAGCATCCTAACCCCTGTGTCTGCAGAAAGATGATGCCAGTCAGGGTGATGACTCGCCATTTCAATTTCTCTGATGTTGCCCAGGCCAGCCGCATTGTGCACCTCCCGAGATTGGTTCTTGCTGTCATTCCTTGGGGTTCAGTGCCTTCCAGAGGCTGATATTTAGCGAGAAACCCTGGTGCCAAAGTTTCCAACTTTTTTATTTTCACTCTCTCGAGTTCTCTGGTGGGGATGATAATGAATCTTCTTCACCTGCCTGCATGCGAGAGTTTGAGGTCTGGTATCAAAGTCTGGTTTTTCAAGAAGCAGATAGAATCAGGGATTTGAGAGGAAGCAGATTATTTGGAGGATGGTCTCAGGAAAAATACCAAGGCAGGGGGGAATAACCCAAGGAAGAGAAGGCAGCTCATGGAAGGTGAGGTGGTGAGCCAGGTACCATGCTGGGCAGTTGGAGCTCAATTCCAGGTAGAGACAGAGAGCCAGAACTCATGCCTCTGAGTCATCTCACCCGAGGAGGAAGGAGCTGGGGTCTTTATGTACCAGTTCCTATCAGTTGTTTTTTGAGGGTCATTCCTAGGAATGTTAATTTCCAAACTCTCTTTCCTGGCACCATGCATGGATGAAGCAACCTTGCTTCGTTTCAGCGAAATCTCTCAGGCATAAAAACACCATGTCCTGCTCCCTGGTGTGGAAGATCTGAAGGATTGGCTTGGAGAGTGTGACAAATCAGAGGACATGCAAAGGTAGATTCAGTCCTGACTCCATCCTCCTAGTAGCATGATCTTGGGCAAGCTTGTTGGCCTTTCTGGAATTTCAGATCCCTCCTCGGTAAAACATATTTTAGCATAAAGTACATATTTTAGGCTATTATAGAGATTAAGTGAAATTATGCAGATGAGCAGCGTCGGGTTTGCCATATACCGGCTTTACTGTAAGTACCACAGAGCATCTTCACTGCTCCGGTGTGTGTGTGAAGTGCTTTAGGTAAACAGGTGGTGAAAAAACAACATCCCTGTCTTCATGGAACTTATATTTTTGGCCTACTAAACCTTAAGACCATTTCTTTTTTCACCTAGTTATACCTTGCCCAGGAGAGTGTGACATACTTTCACATTCCAAAGCATATAACTTAATTCTGTGACTACTCTCTGAAGTGCCTCTTGGATTTGCAAAGACAAAACTGAGCTTTTGGTAGCAACTGTACATTTAAAATTTTGTGGTACAAGTTAAATATCCTAACCCCTATCCTAAATACTGGGACCAGAAATGTTATGGATGTTGAATTTTTTTTTTTTAATTTTGGAATATTTGCACATATTTGCAGGTGGGACACAAGTTTAAACATGAATTTTACTTGGTTTTCATAAAAATCTTCTACACATGGACTAAAACTAATTTTTTTCCTTTTTTTTAACAAAACGTTTTAACTATGGCCCATCATGAGATCAAGGATAGAATTTTCTACTCCTGATGTCATGTCAATACCCAAAGAGTTTTGGGTTTTGGAACATTTCGAATTTTGGATTTTCCAGTGAAGGTTGTATAACATGAAGCCATATTTACAAAAATAAGAAAAAAAACTGCTAAAATGACTTTTGATAGCATGCAGTTAACTCCATATGTAAAATATCATTTCAATGTGTAATTAGTATCAAATTATTAATTAAATATTCTTCTTTATTTTTCTTAATCATCAAAGTTCAATGCATGTTTTAGACTTACAGCATCTCAGTTGTGAACCAAATACATTTCAAGGTCTCAGTAGCCATGTTTGGCTCCTGGCCACCATATTAAGACCATGGCAAAGGTCTAGTGGATTCCTTTTAGAAGTAGCTGCCAGCGGGATAGTTGGTTTACTTTTGCCTCCTCTTTATAGATGGCAGTTCTCCTTGCATATGTAAAAGTGAAGTTGGCTTTAGCTCTGGCATCATAAGAAATTGACAGCTTCTGTAATGAAATTTCACACATGGAAACCATGGTGAGATTCTTAGCAGGTGTAAAAATCTGACGAAGTTATTTCTTTAACTGCAACTTAATGGAAACTGCAACAGCTGTTCCCATTTGTGCATTTTCCAAATCTCATTGCCAGAAAGAATTGTTGGCAGCCACAGGAGAAGTATCAACTTACCTCTTCATTTGGGAAATGAAATGAAAACCTCAGCTCATTTCTAAAAGTCGCCGATTTGGTAAAAGTTAGCAGGCCAAACACACAAGCCGCTGTTAAAATATTGATGGCTTTGGTTTTCTCAGGTGCTGCTGCTAACATCTGCAGAAGATTTGGACTGCACTCCTGGATTTCAGCAGAAACTGTTCCACATCAATCAGCCAGCTGGATTCGTCGAGGACCAGCTGATTCTAAACTGTAAGCAATGTCACATGAAGATGCCTTTGGTCTCTTCTCATTTTTGAATTCACCAGTGTCTAGGATTGTGTCTCAGGATGTGGTATTTCCCGGACAAGGGTTTTCTGATCATTTTCTTATGTCACTGCTTGACCCAGGGTGAAAGCTCTTGAATTAGGGCCTTGCCAGCTTGGAGGTTAATAGAGTATCTTTTCTAGTATTTTATCATCAGTGGGCATTTCCAAACTGCTTCCAAAAAAGAGAGCTGTCATACTATACTGTGCAAAGGAAATGAAATCCATTTCCCCCGGGCAGACCCCCGAGAGCAGATTCATTGCTTTCTTATAGATCGCTGTCCTACCTGTAGTTTCTCATACATAGCATTAGATCATAATGCTGAGAGCATGATGTTGGTTTCTGGGAACTTTTAGACAAAGGAATCCAAAATTCTTGTTTCTATGGCTAATAGGATGGTCTTCGAGAGATTCAAAACCTTTACTGGTTATTCTGTGGATTAAACTCAACCCAAAATTCTAACTGATGTCTTTCAGATATGCATCCTTCACATCGGTCATGATGGTCTTTTCCTATTTCTAATGCCAATATTATATCATGTCATCTTTACAAGGGATGTGGGGTACATTGCAAAGCCTGTAACAAGCACAGTTTTAGCCAGTTGAATTTAAAGTTGATGGTAGATGTATCAGTATAACGTGTCGCTCAACTGTAGCCTCTTGCGTGCCATTCTTTAACACCTGGGAGTGGCAGGTATGAAACAGTGGTCTACTGATTTGGTCAGGTGCTCTCAGGATTCTTTAAGGAAGGTTGTGCATCTGCCCTTGCTGACTCAGGTTGCTTCCAGACTACCATGTTCCTTCATTCTTGTGCTATATGGCTGGGATGTTTAAAGAAAAAGAGAAAGAAAAGCCAGCTTGATTGGATTGTTCTGTGAGACCTCGGTAATAGCCGAAAAAAACAATAATGAAGACGCAACTGTGAGCGTCGAGGGGGTACCCACGGTGCACCCGTGCACATGGCGATGCAATTACGCCGATGAAATCACGTCGATAATTAGTGTGGAACGACAAGGTGCAGGACTGGCACGATTAGTGAATTCCAATATGTGATTTCCTGTTCATTTCACCCTGGAACACAACTCCAGATCAGGCCATCAGGAACCCTCATTTGTCCTTTGATTTTTGTATTTATCAGAATCAGTACATTTTAAGTGGAGAAGTGGTTTTCTGGCTCTTTGCTCTGCTCTTTTCTTTTCCCCTTCTTCTTTCTCTATCTTCTCTCCCTGTCTTGTATTTTCCCCCCAAGTGATTATCCCAAAAGGCATCTATGTTAACATGCTTGGAAATGCAAAGCCACCCTGAGTATGGAAATTAATAGAGTTGGTATGCAAAGCAGACCCATAAATGTGATTGCTTCTGTAATCTTCACGAGACCAAACAGCTTTTAATTCACCACTGAGAAGCTAGAAACAATCATACTTTGGGGGATCTTTTAAATTTAAACTAGGCCATACTGTATATTCCAGTAGCACAGCTTCTTATGTGTCTGTGTCTATGTGTGTGTGTGTTTTAATCCCCTAAGTAATTAAGTGGGTTATGGTTGTTGGTTCTATGTAAGCTAGTAAATGCTAAATGGGACTAGGTTGATTATCAATGAAAGCACATTCAGGAAAAGTCAATGATATGAGAATTGAGGACATTTAAAATGTTACGCTTGTTTATGAGTTGTTGGGTCAGCAAAATCTGATTAGCCCCTCGGTGAAACCATATGTCTCTCTCTCTCTCTCTCTCTCTCTCTCTCTCTCTCTCTCTCTCTCTCTCTCTCTCTCTCTCTCTCTCTCTCTCTCTATTTATATATATATATATATATACATATATATATATATTGCTAGGATAAAAAAAAACAATAGCATAGACAGCATATCTTGTTAGATACTTTTAAGTTCACCTCAAAGTAATGAATGTGGGTTGTTATGAGCATAGACCCTGCAAATATTGTTCATTGTGCCTAAATGAAGAAGAAAGTTTTCAGACTTGAGAATACCCATTGCATGTTGTTTAGGAAAGTAAGGATTTCCAGAAGCGGTAGCATTGCTTTGGTCTATTCCACTTGGAAGAGGAAGTACAAAATATTGAGTGGATTTTTCCACCTAATCCACCAATATGTTAAACCAGTCTCCATCTCTACTCCCACCTCCTTCTCTCTTTCTCAGTCCATGCATTTCTTTATGATTCAACAACAAGAAAACTCGTATTTCAGAAAAATGTGATTAACCTAAAAACCAATGAGTGATGTGTGCTGTCAGAATGAAGACCCTAGGACATAAGGCTAACACCAGGACAAAAAACAAAAAACAAAAACAAAGAACCATAAAGTTTTAAAATCCTCGAGTTTGCATACCAAAGATCCGGGAACCAGCTAGGGGTGTGCTAGTGACCTATAAATATAAACCAATGGTGCAGGTCATAGACAGGCTGAAAGAAGCTGGGCTAGTGACACTCTCTTGGACTCTACTCCTGGTATTCACGTTTTACATTTTTACTTTATGTTGGCAGTGCTTAAGAACTTTGACTGTAGGTATTGTGAATTTTTGTGGGTAGAAGGTGTAAACACAGCATCATCAATCAATGGATGTCTACCCCTTTACCATTCTGGAAAACTTCTGACAGTGTTGTTGCTTTGCCTGACAGACACAGTAATCTGCTCATGGCCCAGCCCTGCATTCGACCAGTTCTGTGCACAGCTTTGAGCAGGTTACAGGGAATGTTTATTCTGCTCATGGCTTCCTGTTCTCTTTGTTCAGACAGTAATATCTCCTTTCATCCTTTTTCATCTTCCTCCTCAATTCTCAATGACTTATCTCTTTCTACTTTAACTGTGACTAATGGTCACCTCCACTCCTTTTATTCTCCTAATATTTTATTCACTGTTCACTCCGATACATCTTTCCCTCAGTTGTTCTAAAGCCTTTTATTTTCTTCACATCCAAATAACTCTTTATTCTACTCTCCTTTCCACTAACTAGACTTGCTTTCGTCTTTAAAAGGCCATTTTTCAACAAGCTGGTAGGATCAAAACATGATAGCCCCCTATTTCTTCTAATGTAACCAGGGGAGCTCTTTCATTGTATCTTTCACAGCATGATGCAAAGCCCCCAACTCATGATAACTTGGGCAAAACTTTCTTGGCTTTATCTCAGCCCTGAAAGATGTAGTTATTCCCATTTTTCAATGAGAACTACAAGAGAAAAGCTAAGATATCTTAGAAGGGAGCAACTTAGAAAGGAGATATCCATTCCAGGTCTTTGGACTCAGGATAGGCTTTCGAAAAAGAAGTTCCCTAGAACCCTTTGTGAGAGGGGTTCCCTAGTAACCTCTGGCACCCAGAACTCTCTCAGGTTGCCTGGAGGTGAGGTAGTTCTTATTTCTCCTGCAACATAAAAATCATGTGATTCTAGTAACTGCTTCTTGGAACCACTAGAATTGGACAACAACCCTGGTTACAGCCTTCCAGCTGACACCCTGATGAGAAGATCTTCATGCTTAGAATAGCTGGCCTAATTAACTGACCATCCACCTAGCTGGAGTGGAAAAATTCGAAGTGATAAACCTGATTTCCTTGTATTCTCTGCACAAATCACAGAATAGAATATTTTACTCTGCCCCTATCAACTCGGGTGGAATTTCCTGGTATATATCTCTGGTCACTGAGTTCACTAAAAGCAAGGACACTCATGGCCCAGTTTCTATTGGTGGGAGATACTAAGGGCAAGCACACTCATGGCCCAGTTTCTATTGGTGGGAGATGGGTCCAGGCTCCTGTGTCCAGAAGGGACACCCTGTTGGCCATCCAGCTACTCTTAGGACTGTCCTTTTCTTTCCACCGTATTCACTCTTCTTGGGCCACACATACAAACACGCAGACATAGAAAGAAATGGCCAAACCTAAGTTCACCTACGATACAACTCCTATAATCACACTTGTAGTGAAGAAACCTCATTGGGCAGCATATGCTAGGCCACACTGTGTATCAGATAGCCCAGTGACCTAACATGGAAAAAGTTTATTTCTCAAACAGGTCAGATGGATTCAGGTTAGGCTGTTCCCTGGGTGGCTGTCTTCCATGTGGTTGCCCTCCATGCTGGAACTTGAGGACTCACCTTCTTCTAACTCGATCCTACCAATGTGTGGCGTCCTGAATTCTGTGCCACTGAGCTGGCAGACAGGAGGGCGAGAAGGAAATTGGGGAAGAAACCCCAAATTCTTACCCTCCACTTACAAGTGCACTGCTGCTCCCACGCTATTAGCAGACCTCAGCGTGTAGGTAGCCTGACTGCAGGGGAGGCTGGGAATGGAGAGAGCACATGAGTGTTTGCTCCTGGTCAGTCTCTACACAGATCCTAACAGGAAGATACTGCCTGAATCCAAAAGACACTGCTGGAAGAGACAGAAAAAAGACCATAATGAAGACAGCTCTCTCAGCACAACCAGAGCCTACATGGGAAGAAGCTGATCAATGTAAGCAGGGAGAAAGGTCATGAACCGGTGAGGATGTCTTGCTTTTCTTAGCAGGGAGTAATTTCTTATGCTTGCAGTAGGGACAGGCTCCAGGCACTTCCTCCTAAAGATTATAATGTGGTGGATAAGATCACACAGTCTCAAACTCACATTGACTGGGGCTCAAATACCCACAGTCATACTGCAGCTACACAACCACGAGTGAGTTATTTGAATCTTCAGAGTTTGAATGGTCTCATCTCTATAGGAAGGATAATGCACTCAACTTCTAGAGCTGAGGCAAGAATGGGTAGAAAACATGCGTAGACTACAGTCATAAATGAATGAGAGCTGCTGTTGGCACTACCATTACTGATATCGTTGTTGCTGTCATTATGATTACTGTGATTATTTTTATTCTTAGAACTTAGGCAGACTTAATTTCCTTATAATGGCCATCTGAAGGTGGCTTTAAAACAAAAGAAAACAGATCACATTGGCCACTA